AATGCCAGGGCCAGGATTCAGCTGGGAGGGAGCTGGCTGACATCAAGGCCGGTGACCTTCCTTCCGCGTCGCACTTCAAACTGCATCTGTGAGTTACCCACCTTGTGAAGTACTGATAGAATGCTTTTTCATTTCAGGCGGCTTCTCTCCCACACCTGAGCTAATCTGCTTTGGGTCCATGTGTCTTCGCAACCAGTTGGTGTATATGTAGTGACCACAGGCACTTTAGCATTAGCAATAAAGGCATCTTGCAGTAGAAAACTGTCCTCAGGGTCCGGATAGCAAGACAAAAAACTTGCCAGTTCTGATGAGTACAGTCATCTTCATACTAATTTCTTCGAGGGGGGGGGGGGGGGGCACACAAAGGGACCTCTCGGCTGTGGCCCACACCACCACAGTCAGCCTGAGTGTGAAATGTGGGTTCCCTCATGCTGCCGCCTCCCCACGCCTACTGCACATGCCCCCTTAAAGGAGTGGGCCACTGATTGCGGCTGCAACCCCGCAGGTTTGCCAGTGTTGTTACTCATTAACCACTAAAGCTTGCTTCCGTGTAATTCGTTTTTGTAAAAGGCAAGATTGACATAAAGATGAGATGAAGGGTATTCTTATCTCTTCTTTTCTCTCCTCAGGCACATTGTGATAGATTGGCTTTTAAGGGTTCACTAAACCTTTGGGCCCAAGATAGAGAAAAACTGGCATATTTGTCCCTGATTTCTAAACCTTTGGGCCCAAGATAGAGAAAAACTGGCATATTTGTCCCTGATTTGCTCTCCTGTAATTCATCAGTATCTGGAGTTTTTAGGGGTGGATTTAAACTCCCAGAACTGTTCACATGGTTTTGGGTTGGGGTTATAATAGCTTCTTGGCTCCTTCAGTGAGCAAATGTGATGACAGAGCAGCCTGAGCTCTAACTGTAGGAGTCTTGTCTTGGTTGGTAGTATTTACTTTATCACCTGAGCCTTAAGGAAAGCTAGTACTTTGGCCAGTCACCATTGGCCTGCCTCAAAGAGTGTATTTCGATGTGATTAGAAAAATCACTCTAGTCCTGTCAAAGCATTTCTCCTGTACCTTCAGCTCCCAACTCCCAAACTAAATTTTAGAAATGTGGACCATTTGGCACAATATACGAATTAGTAGAAAAAAATCACACACTAAATTGGGAGCTAATTTACAGACCCTAATGGAGAGTTCTTTAAAGAACTTAAATTATACATCGTAAGAGGATTTTACACTTGGCTTGTCTGTGTTTATAAATCCCATTCCTTCACTCCCAAGATTGAAGTGAGGGAGGGGCAGTTTGAAATCTTACAGAAATCATATCACCATTAACTTTTGTTGTCAGGGAAGGTGGGAAAATACTGCAGTTCTGACATTTTATCTGGCATTTTGTTATTTACCTATTTTGTGCTTTACCAAAATTTAGGTAGAGAAGCTAGTGATTTGAATCATGACCTTTGAAGAAAACCAGAACACATTGCTGGCCTCTGACCTGGACGGGGTGAAGCAGACATTTGAACTGGAAATGGACAGACGGGCCATATTTATTGGCCTTAGGTCCCCCACCTTCAGATTGAGGATTTTATAAATGGAAGGCTGGCCAGCCTGTATGCTTAGGGGACTGTGAGGATGGTGGTGGCACGGTATCTGTTTGTGTTGTCTCAGTAAAGTAACTGGAAAAGCCTGTCTGAGTGTTGTGTGGGCAATACGCCTCAGGAAATATATTCTGCTGCTAATAACCTCTAAAATGAAGAGTTGAGCAAAGATTGGACCCCAAAGCTAATCACCCACTTAATAAGTTGGGTTTTGTTTCAGAATCCAAGGGTGGTTAACATTGGTTTGTGTGGTAGCTGCTGTTTTCCCCTTAGAATAAATGTTATGGCCAACTAGCAAAGAAACGCAAACGTGGGCTCTGGAGTGAGTCTTCACTTTCAGGTTTGCTCTTTTGAGAGACTTTTTTTTTTTTTAAGGGAAATACCTACTAAATTATTATCACTAACTATTTCATAAACAAAATTACAGTAATAAGATTGTGCTTTTGTATCCTTCTTAAACATTTCTTTCTGTAAATGTTAGCAGATAGGTTAAGTGATGACATCTGAATACTTTGGTGACAGACGTGTGAAAGGTTGTGGTAAAAGCATTGGATTGAAGTTGGGAAAATCAGTTTAGGTTTCTTATAGACACTAGCTGTGTGACCTTGTGTAAGTTATTTAAAGTCTCTCAGCCTGAGCCTTCATGTCTATGGTGAGGGCACTGATACCACCTTTGCAGGTTTACTGTGAGGATAAAAGACAATGAACCTAACACCTGTGGCCCAGTAGCTAACAGGGCTATAATTAGGCAGGCTCTCATTTCTTCTTCACCCTTGCAATTAGGGCCCTGACACCCTGTGGTTCTGGTCCTGGATGTGGCTATCCCAACCCCTTTACCACATGCCCTTATTGGGCAAACAGAAGCTTGGTTTCTGTTTCCAAATGTTAACCAATTGTAGCTTGTAATTTTATAAAATTGCACACATACATTGTTGGGGTTTAGAGTTGCAGTAATAGATGGCCATTAGAAAATCCACATAGGGCATTTTGGAGATCTGTAAGGTGTGTTATTTTTCTCAGTTGACTTAGAATTGGCGAAACTAAAAATACGTTTTAAAAAATATTGTTTCCCTAAATGCTTTTTTTAAAAGGAGGGCTCATTGGAAACTTATGATTGCTCATTGTTAATTCTGGGTGTTGGTATGAACTCCTTTCAACATCTAGAGCAAAGGAGCCTGGCCAGGGCAGGAGTAATTAGGCCAGTGTCCACATTGGCCCCGCATAGCCTTAGGACTTTGTTTTCTCACCAGGAAGCTTGAGTTTAAGTTTTTATTTAATATATCTAGTCATCTGAGTACTCAGTAGTAGGACCACCTTGCACTTGCCTGTTTTTTGAACCCTGCAGAATGAGTTTAAGAGCATGCTTTATATCTACTTTATTGAGAAAGTGTTTTCCTTTTTAAAGAAATGTAATTTCTGAACCATTAGCAGAGACGTCATGATTCTTTTAAAAACCATAAGAGTAAAAGGGAAGCAGGATAGAGAGTCTCTTGGGCAAAGTTCATCTCATCAGATACTCAGCATGTTGCCTTATTTCTTCTCTCAAATGTGTCTTTATGGCTGTGGTAGAAATACCGACTTATGACCCAGGGCTGCTAATGCCATTGCCCAGCCCAAGATGTAGGCCCTCCTTGCAAGGGAACATATACGTGGGAAACACTGTGAGTATTTTGAGTTATTTACTTATGGTAACAGCCTGCTGACTTCGTGTTTTAAAAACATTTGGTAGAACACATGTATTTGTATCATCTTCTACATAAATACACATGGTGATTGCCAATTTTTAAAAAACTAGGGTAACATTTAGGATTGCTCATATTTAATATACAGCATCAATACCTTTTGTCTTTAACTTGGAAATACAAACTCATCTGGCCTTCAGGCGCTGTTCCAAATGTGGAGAATACCACCAACTCCTCTCTTTTCCTGCCCCTGAGACATTTTACAGGTTAGAATGAGCCCGCACCAGGCAGTGTGCTCTCCTCATGGACTCTGTACTTGACGGTAGCAGCAAGAACACCCTGCCTTGGTAGCGTGACAGGCTCCTGAAGTATATTATCATATATCATCCTTACATCATCCCTGTCAGGGAGGAATGGTTTGGATATTTTTATGGCTATCATGAAGATGGGTTACTGAACCTACAGCAGACAGATTACATGATTTGCTCAGGGTCACGTGGCTGGTCAGTGGCAGAGATAAAACTGGATCTGGGTCATCCCTGTCAACTGGGCTTATCTACCAAGCCAGCAGGATTCTTGCAAGATGGGTATAGTCATTAGTGTTTAGGGGATGTTTGGCCCTATTTCTCTTTTTAAAAAATAAACTTTTAAATGTAGAATAGTTTTAGATTTGCGAAAAGTTGCAGAACTGGTATAGAGAGTTCTCATATGCCCAATGTCGTTTCCCCTATTGTTAACATTTTGTTTTGGTTTGGTACATTTGCCACAATGAATGACCAGTATCGATACAGATTGCCTTCGTTTTTACCTCCTGTCCTTTTTCTGTTCCAGCATCCCACCTAGGACACCACATCACATGTTGTCATCATGCCTCCTTAGGTTCCTTATGGCACTGGACAGGCCTTTGTTACATGTCCCTTATTTGGGATCTGTCTGATGTTTTCTCTCATGGTTAGACGGGGTGATGGGTTTTGGAAGGAAGACGGCAAAGGAGGTGCATTTTCATCACATCATATTGAGAGGAGATAATGTCAACGTGACTTATCCCTGGTGATGTTGCCCTTGATCATCTGGCTAAGATCACATTTGTCAGGTTCTCCACTATATAGTTACTTCCCCCACCCTTCCCTTACTGTACTCTTTGGAAGGAAGTGACTATGCTCAGACCACATTACTTTGAATGGGGGAATATCTATATAAATGAGATACTTGAATGGGAGACTTGCTTACTTCTGCCAACTCAGCAAATCCTACTCTACAGGCTTTTTTCTTACATCTGTCAGGTGTGAAATTGTGGTTGGAGGAGATGGTCATAGGTAAAATTTCACAGTGGTTCTGAGTTCATTAGATGTTGTTAAGAAAATGTAGATGCTGCCTATACACTAGGGGAGAATAAAATAGCACCTGGGTGATTAATTACCATCAGAGAGCCAGGGAGGTTTGTTGCAAAGTGTGAACTTCAGTCTAGGAAATACAGTTACAGAAAGGACAACAGAACTTTGGAATTTGTGAAAACCTGTCAGTGAGCTGATCCAGTCCCATCATCTCCTGAATATGAAACCACACCTCCAAAATAGGAAACTTGCCATTTGCAATGTCATTTAGTTCCAAGCCATGGAGGGTCATGCAGGCATTTAAAAATAAGCATGATCAACTATTTCTTCTTGGTGCTCAGTTTTCAGACCATTCTGGCTCATATTCCACATTTTCCCTCCTCTCTCTACAGAATTCTATCCGACACAACCTCTCGCTACACAGCCGGTTCATGCGGGTCCAGAATGAGGGGACTGGCAAGAGCTCTTGGTGGATCATCAACCCCGACGGAGGGAAGAGCGGGAAGGCACCCCGCCGGCGGGCTGTCTCCATGGACAACAGCAACAAGTATACCAAGAGCCGTAGCCGTGCAGCCAAGAAGAAGGCAGCCCTGCAAACAGCTCCTGAGTCAGCAGACGACAGTCCCTCCCAGCTCTCCAAATGGCCTGGCAGCCCCACATCGCGCAGCAGCGATGAGCTGGATGCATGGACGGATTTTCGCTCGCGCACCAATTCCAATGCCAGCACGGTCAGCGGCCGCCTGTCACCCATCCTGGCGGGCACAGAGCTGGATGACGTCCAGGATGACGATGCGCCACTCTCCCCCATGCTTTACAGCAGCTCGGCCAGCCTCTCACCCTCCGTCAGCAAGCCGTGCACGGTGGAGCTGCCCCGGCTGACCGACATGGCAGGCACCATGAATCTGAACGATGGTCTGGCTGACAACCTCATGGATGACCTGCTGGATAACATCCCGCTCCCACCGTCCCAGCCGTCCCCCACCGCGGGGCTCATGCAGAGGAGCTCTAGCTTCCCCTACACCACCAAGGGCTCTGGCCTGGGCTCTCCAACCAGCTCCTTCAACAGCACAGTGTTTGGACCCTCATCTCTGAATTCCCTGCGCCAGTCTCCCATGCAGACCATCCAAGAGAACAAGCCAGCCACCTTCTCTTCCATGCCGCACTATGGCACCCAGACACTCCAGGACCTGCTCACTTCAGACTCACTCAGCCACAGCGATGTCATGATGACCCAGTCGGACCCCTTGATGTCTCAGGCCAGCACCGCTGTGTCTGCCCAGAACTCCCGCCGGAATGTGATGCTTCGCAATGACCCAATGATGTCCTTTGCAGCCCAGCCTAACCAGGGGAGTTTGGTCAATCAGAACTTGCTCCACCACCAGCACCAGACCCAGGGCGCTCTCAGCGGCAGCCGTGCCTTGTCGAATTCTGTCAGCAACATGGGCTTGAGCGATTCCAGCAGCCTTGGGTCAGCCAAACACCAGCAGCAGTCTCTCGTCAGCCAGTCTATGCAAACCCTCTCGGACTCTCTCTCAGGCTCCTCTTTGTACTCAACGAGTGCAAACCTTTCCGTCATGGGCCACGAGAAGTTCCCCAGCGACCTGGACCTGGACATGTTCAATGGGAGCTTGGAATGTGACATGGAGTCCATTATTCGCAGTGACCTCATGGATGCCGATGGGTTGGATTTTAACTTTGATTCCCTCATCTCCACACAGAACGTTGTTGGTTTGAACGTGGGGAACTTCACTGGTGCTAAGCAGGCCTCATCTCAGAGCTGGGTGCCAGGCTGAAGGCTCACGGAGGAAAGGGGAAGTGGGCAAAGCAGGTTAGTGCCCAGTGCTATGGCATCATAATAACCACATGGGGGTGTCTGGGGGCGGGGGGGGGGCTGCCTTTTATTTAGTGTGAACTTGACTCCACATTGAGAAACTTAGAGCTATGAAGCAGTGGTGTACAGTTTACACAGCAACATAGCTCCCAACCAGTTCATCTCCGAGTTCTACCTGCAAAACAAATAGGGCTGTCAGGTGCCCCTCCCCACAAGCTGACAGCTCAGGAATTGTATTGCCCATAAAAAGAACACACACACATACATTCATAAATGTCATTCTTCTTTGTATCCAGTCACCCTTGCCGACCTATGACTCTGGTCCCCCTATTTGATGGATGGATGAGGACAGAAGGGAAGGGGAGGAAGGCAGGACCTGAGTCACACAAACTTCAAGGTTAAGGACTCAGCCAAAGGACTTTCTTAGGTTCCCCGGTCCAGCACCCTTATTGTTGATCTTCGATGTTATCATTTCATCTTCCTTTCCATTAAAGTAATGATTTGCAGGTACTTCGAATTTAACTGTAGAATATGTATTCTGGACTCTTTCATACATGCATACTGATATTTCCATCAGAAGCAAAATCTGTTAGATTCTTCACCATAGTACGAAGCATCTTTATTAGGGAGCATTCAGCATCTGAGCCTTAAAAAGAGCGAAAGAATTAAGTTGAAAACGGAAGTGTTTATGTTAGAGCACTTACTCACGGGCGTCTTGATCCCCACTGTATAAATGATGTCAGGTTCTAAACAGAGTGACATGGGCTGTGAATAGTGGCAGATTTTTAAAATTGTGGCATTTCAATACTGTTGGAACTGGAAAGATCACGCAGCATGATGTGGTAAGAAAAGTATTTGATTGGCATCAGAAGTTGAGTGTTCAGTACGCTTCTGCTTTCTGGCTGCTCTTGAGAGAGTGTCAGCCCCTGAGCCTCAATTCGCATTTTATAAAAGGAGGCTGGTAGCCACTGTTACTTTACAGGGTTATTGCAAGAATCAAATGCACTGAGGTATGTGAAAGTGCTTTGTAAAACTGCAATGGGCTGAAGTGGGTACGGTATAAATTAGGTAAGCATGCTGCCTAACAGATGAGTAGTAAGCAGGGAGCGCAGGGAGGTTAGGTAGTTTGTCCAGGGTCACACAGCTGGACCCAGAATCCGTATTTCTTGAATGGCTGGAACCATAATAGTTCTTTCTAATTTTATCTAGATAGTAAAAAATGGGAAGTGCTTTGGACTGGAGCTAGAGTAGCAGATAATAGACAGGCTTGTCCTGAAACTCTCCTCCTCAAGCAGTGAGATGAGCCCTGAGGTCTTCTGCTAATAGGTTTGCACCCCAGACCTTCCCATGTTCAAGGACTCTGCTCTGTGCTTCAGCTCCTTTTGACTTATTTATTTTTTAATCTCAGAAAGCATTTTACACCCTCCTTTAAATGGTATAAGAGGAAAATGGGATTCGAAGCATGAAAAGCTGAGCCTTGTTTAACCCTCTGCCCTGGTGAAGGAGTTACAAGGGTCTCCTCGAGTGAGCGCACTCCCGCTCATGAGTACTTGTAGAAAGTGGAATGTCAAGAGCGTTGTGAAGCTGGAGGCTTCTCGCTTTCCCAGGCATACGCGGGCCCCGCATGGAACTCAGACATCTGTTTTCAGTCATTTAATGGCCACTGAGGTAGTAAAGAGACTGTAATGGAAGCTAAAGAGGGGACACTTTCGTGCCAGCCAGTTCAGGTCATACCCGAACTCGGGTGGTGGAGACTGGCCTTGAGAAATTTGGATACTTGGCTTTTAGAAGAGTAAAGAGTTTGTCTTCCTTTAAGAAGAGGAATGCAACTGTGACTTCAAAAGACACAAGATGTTTTAATTTTGGTGGAGTTGTAGGAGGCCACTTTCTAGCTCATTAAAAAGCGTAAGTGCAGAAGAAAATGTACTGTCAATTTTTGTCTGATTTTTGTCAGTGTAGATTTTCCATTGAGTTGAATAGCAGACCTTTCTAGTGTATGTATAATTCTAAGATTGTATAAAAATATTTTAAGGGAGATTTAGTCCTTAAGTTTTTAAAACATGAATGAAGAAACGTCATGGAGACGGGGGATGGGGAGTACTTTGAGGGAGTCTGGTTTCTGGGTTTAGGGTTTCCATTTTGCTTTGAAATGAATTGCTCCTCTAGATAGCCAGGAGCACGTGTGGCCTGATGTGTGTTCTTTACTTTTGAACTTGTGGCTATCACTATATTGAAGGTTCCTAAATTGACAAAACAGGCCTGAGGTCACAATGTCAGGCCTCACCTCACCCGGATTAAGCACCCAAGGTTCCCCAGAGTCATTGTACTGACTTCTTTAAACCAGAAGTCTTGTATTCTCCAGACTCACTTCCTGACTTGCTAACTGGAGGTCATGTGAGCCTGAACTGGAGCCATCTGGTTACAGAGCAGTCGGTCCAGTCCAAGTCTCGCTGGAGAACTGTGGCGAGATGTTCGCTGGAGGGCTGAGTGTTTCCCACATGTCACTCACTTAGACCACATGTAAAATCCCTCAGCCTGTGGGTCTATCTGGAAAAGAGAAGAGTAACCATACCTTTTCATGAGGGCCAGCTGCTGGGGTGTAAAGGGCTTTGTCCTCTCTCAGGCACCCATAAAACTTGGTGAAGAAACATACAAGTTGCAGCAGAGATGTCTGTGAGCAACTGTAGTGGTTGCAAAGCTGAGTTTCTAATAAGCCCTCCTGAGTTTGACACGTGTCTGCTCTCGGAGGGAAAGCAGCATCAATCTCACTGTAGTTTTGATGTCAAAAGATGCCTAATTTCACAAGCTCTTTCATTCATCTTCATCTTTTGGCATTTGAAGACGCCCCATTAGGGAGCAGCCCAGGATTTCGTTTTAAACTACTTTATGATAAGGATTGGAAAACATCAACCAGGAAATAGCCCAGATGGAGAGGAGAAGGGTAGTTTTCTTTCTGTTTCTGCCACTGGTCACGTCACTGATGAGTCTCTTAGAATTGAAGGTTTCTCGTCTATGAAAAGAGGACAGGATCGTAGAGTTTTAAAGGTACAGCGTATGTATAATTTTAAACCTGAAACCTAACATTTGTCTGTGAAATGGTCCTAATTAGAGGTACATGATGGCATGGAAATATAAAGAAACAGTGGTAAACCAGTGTGGAAACAGTAGGCTCCAGCGTTGGAGGCCATGATGAATTTACATTTAGGCTATTTCCCAAAAGGAACATATCTTTGATACTTCTAGAGTTAACTTTGAATGCTGTGATTCTATTATGTTCGGAGATAGGACTAATTCTAACCAAATACAGGCAATACGGGCTATTCCTGCCACATTTTTTCCTTGGTGTAGGTCTTTCTGTGTCAGGGAATGTAGCGAGCGCATGGTAAATATGAATCTGTACATATTGCATGGAGAATATCCTTTGTTTTTTTGCACTGTTGCTGTAGCTTAGTCTTTGGTGACAATGCACCAGCCTCAAGAACTCTGCATCTGCCAGGTTCTTCATTCTTACCTGTGACAAAGCCCCAAGTGCCATTCATGGAGAGAGTGGCTGCCTGGATCTTGTTGACAGTGGATCTTGTTGACGGCAGTGAAGGAAAATTGACAGAGCTGTGAAAAGGGGTTCTCTGTGCAGAGGCTGGTACACTCCTTCCATGCATTCTTTTCCCTGGAAAGCCGGGACATCACGCTCGGGCCGCTCTGCCCGGGCCTGTTAGTTTTCCAGTGCCCCTGTGGTCACCTCTGGCCAGCCTGCTAGACGTGGGGACAGAGCCTGTGTGACTCTCACTTCAAGCAGTTGCATTTATAAGTGGCTTTCTGGAAGGTCTCTTTTGGCCACAGAGCTTATGTGGAGCATAAATAAATGGGGTGAAAATCGCCAGAATTACCACCGGAAATTCTTGTAAACTTCAAGCTCCCATTAAATGCTTCTTTTTAGAGTGTTCATAATGCTCAATATTCAACATCTAATAAATAACGTTTCAGAGCAGAGCCCCAGGGACAGTGAGCTGAAGTGGGTGGCTGGCTCATGTCCAACTGTGATGAGCCTGCTCTAGAAATCAAACATAAACTAAAGCAAGCGTCCTGAGGGCTGTTCACAGAAACCTGTATCTGGGTTTAGTCTGGCTCTGGCCTCTTAGTATTATGGAGCTCCTGAGGTACGAGGGCCTATGTTTTATCCCCCAAACAAAAGCAGACCGTGTGAGAATGGAATGGGTCAATAGGACATTTGAAAGCAAGGTTGTCCCAGAAAACCAAGCATGTAAGATTGCCACACACCCTTGGGTCCTTTGCTTCAACCTTGCATGTAAGGCAGTCTTTTCCTCACTACCACCACTGCTTCACCTCCCCAACCAGGCCATTCATTTCTTGGGGGTAGAGAGAACCCCTGTTTTATTTACCTCTATGCCCTGTGCCCAGTGCACTGCAGGTGCTCAATAAATGAATTTTGTTTAATGAATTCAGGCTTCTCTTGAGCACATGTACTAATGTGGGGCCTACCATTTTGCCAGGCAGCTCATCCAGCCTTAGAACCCACTCCATGGCTGAGAAGAGCTTGATTAATATGATAAGGGCATACAAAACACTCAGTAAAAATCAAGGGCAGAAAGGCCAAGAGTCCATAGTAATCAAGGCGTTGTTGACCTTTTTCAGCACTACGCTAGGGCAGGATTTCTTCAGGGGCTTCCTTAGAACACAGGTCCTATGGTTTGAAGAAAAAGGATTTGGTTCAAGATATCAGAGAGGCAAGACAAGCCTGTTCCTGAAACACACCACTCTGTGGCGAGCGCCTGTGCCCTTGTTGCTGGTGTTTTGTTTCTTTCTCTTCCCACTAACAGACGTGGACCTTCCCCTGTAATTCTAGATACTCTGTTTTTTTAAGAACCTCTTCTTTGTGTGCTGAAATCTATAACATTCATGTATTAAAGGATGAGAATTACTTAGTCATGAAGGCCTCCGAGTTAATTCCAGTGTTCTGAAGGATAAAACTTTAATTGGCAGTCTTGGCTTGATTGAAGGTTTGCATATCAGTATGTCTTCTCCCTCCCCCTTCCTTCCCCTCCCACTTCTCTCTCCTCTGTCTCTTTTCTCTCTTGTGAAGAAGTTTGGACCATAATTTTTTTTAAGTAGTCATGTCTGTGCGGAGTGTTTGATTTGACTCCTTGGGGAAATTAATGGCCAAGAAGAGAAGGCCAGAGGTTCTAAGGTTGAAATCCACTGGGCCTCCATTTGTATCCATGCCACTGTAATTAACTGGAACTTCCATTGGTCATTTGTGCGTTCAGTTGATCAGAAAGCAATACAGCCCAGCCTATCTGTAAGTAATCAGAAAATACTGGCTGATAGACCTGTTAGACGGTGTCCCTTTGGTCTGCCTCTTGAGTGCCTCAAGCCAGAGCACTCCCTACCCAGCCCCACTCAGTCCAGGTTGCCCTGCTGGCTGGGGGCTGGGGCCATGGAAAGGAGGTCCAGGCACTTACACCGCAGTGCTGTCAGGCTGAGCAGGGAGGTGAGGGTCACTCGTGCCACATAAAATGCAGACTTATCTCACTCCAGGAATCAGTACTCCGGCTAGACCCCTGGTGTCAGGATGGCCCTTTGTCTCTCTGCTGATCTTGATTCCCCGCCTTGAGTCGCTCCTTTCAGCTCCTCCTTGGTTCCCTTCGCCTGTTACACTGGTGTGATTGTTTCTTGGCCACCACCTGTGTCACCTGCATGCCCTGGTCATACCTTACAGGAGGATGAGTGGGACTAAAATAGCTGATTTTATATTTTCTATTTCAGAGTCACCTTGGAGAAAATTAGATTGTTTTCACAACTGTTATCTAACGCAGGAAGAGAAGACTTTAGAGACCCTTCTCTCCCGTGCTTGGTACTGGGATGCTTAGGTGGGTGGTGCATCATGCCCCAGGGCCCCAGAGCATCCCAGCCTGGTGGGTGGCTGCACCCTCTCCGTCATCCCCCACCCCCTCCAGCCAGTGAATGCAGTGTAGGGTCACACAGGATGGGGTCGCAGCCGGCAAACTAAACATTGTGATATTCAGGTCCTGGTTATGGCTAAACATTTGCTCCTGGACTGGAGTTCCCTTTTGTTTGTAAACAGTGAGTCACTTTAGTGATGACAGCAGTTTGAGACTTAGAATAGCAAGACTCTTAATTTGGGGGCTGGTAATAAAGGATGTGAATGGCGGGATGTGAAAAGGTAAATTTTTGATTAAATACTTACTACTTTAAATGTTTTTATTAATTTTCTAAAATTAAATTAATTGAATGTTAAAATTGTGCCTCCTATTGATCCTTAGGGGGTTTCATGAGTTTTAGAAACTTGATCGGAACTACCCTCCCCCCTAAAAAGGCATTAAAATTCCAGGTCTTGTCCCACAAGCAGTAGGTTTCTGCACAGGTTCAAATAAGACCAAGTCTTAGCAAACGTGAGTAGTTCTAAAATGCTTCTGGAAGCCGAGCTCTGAAAGGGTGGCATTTGAATTGGCAGAGAAGAGAGGGCTGTTCCAGAAGGACGGTTCAGCCCTTTATTCAGCCACCGTGTGTTGCACAGCTCATCTGTGTGTCAGCTTTGCAGGCTTCTTGGGACGTCAAGAAAACTTTGTTTCCCCGGCAAGAATATGTGCTTGAGAGTAAATACCATGTCTCCGACAGGGCTCTTAAAATAGTTGGTGCTTCATCGGTGATTTGACTTGAAGCTTTTGCTCTGTTTTCAAGGAATTCAATATTTCAGGAGCTTAACGTCTATGAAAAAGTAACCCTTCTGGGTACCATGTGATTAGGTGCCCGGTGAGCAATTGAGGAGTTGAGTAGAGGACAACCTAGAGAAGGAGGGCTGGATGGGTGGGTGTGATTCACATGGGTGGGGAGAGCAAACCAGACACAGTGTGACTGCACCTGCCTTACGGACAAGGAGGTCTGTTCGCAAAGCCCGGATGAGGCCGCGGACCCCAGAGGCCTCGACCAGCGAAGGTGTTTAGATGTTATAATATGAGTCCAGAGAAGGTCCACATGCCCCTTCAAGGCATTTGCCTTAAAAGTGGTTCTTTAAAAGGACATAATAAGAAACTTTACATGCTGTTCTGTGTGGTTTGAAAATCTAAGAATCTTTAGGAAATAGGAGACCTCTGCAACTTAGTTATTGACAGTAGATTAATCCGTACATTTGTGCCATGTCCGTCACCATATTGTAGTCTGGGTACACAAAGAATATGGGTTGATGTCATCCCTGCCCCAATATAAAGTCAGGTAGGACATTCCCTGCAGTTTAAGCCTCCTTGCAGGTCCCCCCGGCTCTCGCTGTGAATTGTGAGGACGGTTGCTTCTCTCCTGTGCTCCCTGTGCCCTGTTAGCACAGCACCGAGGCCGGCAGGGAGGGCATCCACACTGGCTCGAAGTTTGGACGCATCCTGGAGGCAAAAGGCTCTATAGAGGCTTGTTACCAGCCTTCACAGGCAGGCTCCCCCTGCCACCTTGCAAAAGCCCAGAAGTTACTGGGAGATGGCAGAAAGCGTACCTACCTACACAGACACGCTTTTCTGTACACACACTCAGCCTTTTTTTTTTTAATAGTGCATATAGGTGAGTGTCTTCCCAGTATCTCCCTAAGTGGCACCTTTGCCACAAGAAGCTTATTTTAAGCATCCCTGTCACATCCTCACCTTCTTCATAAGCATTTCCTTGCCCATCAGAAAACACCAGAGCCTATGGGCTGTGTTTCCTGGAAACTTGAGTGTCCTTTTTGGGAGGCTCCTCAACTGAATGCAGATTGGCCTCCAGCCTGGCCAGAGCTTCCATACCTACCTGTTCTGCTTCCCTCGCCGACTTTTCCTTGTCTAAGCCGGCAAGTTGACAGCACTTGCCAACATGTATTTCCCTGGAGCGGCACCTCCCACGCCCCTTCTCTGGCAGTCACGGAGGACGGACTGCTCAGCTCAGGCCAAGGCTGGATTGTAGGCCCCCAGGCCCTGTCAGTGGCCCCAGGCTGGTTTTCATGCACCTCCCGGAATCCTCTTTATCACCCACTCCAACATGGAAGACACTGAAAAATCACCAAAGTAAGCCAGTGTTGTGTCCATGCGCACTGTCTGGAGCTGCTGCATGTTTTGCCTGTGAAGGTGACCTCCAAGGGAACGGCTTCCGTTTGCGTGTTCCAAAAACATAGGTGGCTGCCTGACCCAAGGACCCCCCCCCCCCAAAAAAAATGCCATCTTTTCCTAGGGTGACACCAGCTACAAAACCCTCGGTGGGTGCTGGCAGATGGCGGTGGCTCATTATGAACTGGGTGTCCCTTGGCTCCCTCTGGGGCAGAGCAGAGGGGGTGGCAGGCAGGCGTCTCTTTGCTCTCAGGGGCAGAATCAGCCACACTCTGAAATACAGCCCTGTTCTCCGAACGCTGCGTGAGGCTCCGCTGTCAGATTGTGTGAACATCCACTCTTTTTCTTTTCTATCCTGAATGTTCATAGTTATAGTCCCCAGCTTGCCCCAGGGGTTGCAAGTTTGGCTTAAATGATCCGTACGTTTGATTTTATTTCTCAGGCAGACTTTCCTCCAACATGTTTTAGTTTTAGCTAGGAGAGCAGTCGATGACCTTCCTGGGTTTGTGGATGTCTCTTTTTCCTCCGGTGACATATTTGGTATTGGGGTCCTGTTCCTTTCTTCTCTGCCAAGAAGATGAAAACACTACTGAAAACCCCAGATCTGCCGCCTGGGAGTTACTTTGTGGGAGGACAGCAGTAGGAACGTTTATGTTTTTATTCCCAGATTAAAGTTGATTGGGGTTGTTATGTTTTGTGTCGAGTTTTTTTGGAGGCGTTGCCCTTTCTTGGAACATCACGTGATTTCGTGGTGCTAATTAGGCAGAAACTTGTCTTCCCTACAGATGCCAAGATTATAGAGGGACTTACTCTCACCAGAGACCAGATGACAGCGTCCATAGGTCATTTTAGCATGGGCCTCATCCTGCGGCTTCCCCATTTTATTTTCCTTGCATCAACAGCCCAATTTCAAACTTATTTATTGGGCAAGGAGGGGGAGAGGGGGATCTTCTCCTACTAATGCAAGTCACTGATGGGATAGCACATTTTCATATTTCTTGTTAGTTGGCCTGTTGCCTAGTAACTGTAAAGTGATAGCTGTAATTCCCTTCAGCTGTATGCTTTCTTTTCCTTCCAAGTTTTGCTTAATCTGATGTGTTTTTAAACTTAGCAGAGCATTAGCATATGCACATGAGCCTCACAGTTAACTACAACGTCTCTCTTTAGACGATGTAAGAATGGTGGGGTCTTCACTGAAATCCATGAGACTTGTACCCAACCTGAGAATCATTAAATTCCCAGCTCAGTAGCTGAGCTCACTCCTAAATGTGCTCCCTCACCCCTTCAGACCTTGGTGGAGTCAGGTAAACGTGCAAACATTGCCTCACCAAAGAGTGGCCATAAATCTCAGGCAGGTGAGGCGGCCTGCCTTGTGGCTGCTTTCAGTCATCAGGCCTTCCTAATGAAGGGTGACTCCGGTTCTCCTCTTGTATTTCTGTTCAGAACTTATCTGGTTCCTTTATGTTTTCACATTATTTTACGATCCGTTTGCCTTCCATCCCGGAGAAAACAAGTCGCCTCTCTGTTCTGTGGAGTGGGAGTTTTTGTATAAAATTTGTTTGAGAGCTGCCTCTACACCTGGGCCTGGGCCTCTCTGGCTTAATCTCCAAGCACAGGTAGTTTCTGCACCAGGTGGGAGGCGCACCTGTGAGACTGGGGGAGTTCCAGCACCTAGCACCACAGGTGGCCCCCCAGGCCATTCTGAAGGAAGGGAAAGTGAGAACCATGCATCTCCTCTTTTTTTTTTAAATATATTTTATTGACTTTTCACAGAGAGGAAGGGAGAGGGATAGAGAGTTAGAAACATCGATGAGAGAGGAACATCGATCAGCTGCCTCCTGCACACCTCCCATTGGGGATGTGCCCACAACCAAGGTACATGCCGTTGGCCGGAATCGAACCTGGGGCCTTTCAGTCTGCAGGCTGACGCTCTATCCACTGAGCCAAACCGGCTAGGGCCACGCATCTCCTTTTTAATGATGCTTCCTGAAGAGTCTGGGCCTTTTGATGAAGGAATGGGCATTTGGCCTCAGGATTGTTGTTGGTTGTGCCCATGTGGGCCTCCTGCCCAGGTTTCAGGGCTGATGCCTGTTCTGCGTGGAATGATGCCCTATTGGGGGCTATGGTGCCCTCCGCCTCCTTCCTTCCTATGCTGAGCCAGCCCCAGCATCAGAGCAAGCTGTATGCTTGGCCTGTGTCCGTGTGGAAGAAATATGTCACCATCCCAGGTCCACGGCTGGATAATTAACACCAAAGGGAACCGGGGGATGGGGTCGGAATTAGGTAATACTTCATAGCTTCTCCCTTGGCACTTTCAGTAGTTCAGGGTAGAGAGTTGGGGACCAAAGTCCCCTGATGACTAATTGCATAGTGATGTTAGGTTGTGGTTTATTAAGTGTTATTGTGAAGGAAAAAACCAAATCCCCTTCTAAAGAACCCTATTCACACCCTCGTTTGTTCATGCCTCAGGGGTCCATGGTAGAGGCGCTGAAATAGCACTAGCTCTTGGAGGCTCAGTTCCTCACAGACACTGAGATCTGGTGTCTAGTTTAGCCTTTCCCCTCTGAAATCAACAGGCCGTTATTTTATAGTCCAGGATAAATTGTCTCATACCCTAGCAAAGCAAGGAACAGCTCCCGAAAAGCCATCGGCCAGGGCAACTAAGTGCTGGGGCTGGGGGAAGACGGGCCTTCTTTTCCTGCTTTTGTCTCTGCTGCCGGTGAAACAACCTCAGTTCTTGTCTTTGGGGCTGTGACCAGGGGAACTGCAGCCATGGGTGTGTAACATTACACACACCAAGCCCTGGGGTCATTCTGCACATCGGTAGAGAAGGGTAAGGCTGCCAACCGGTGCAGTCACAGAGGAGATGCAGTCACAAGTGCACTTGTGAAAATTCCACAGGAGCTCATGATGGTATCTCTGAAGAGGAGGGGCAGACGTCCGTGTGTGTGAGAAGGCTTATTGATGCATTTTTCATTACTTGTTCACCTTATCCGGTGAGCAGATCTTGAGTTCATGTTGCTTTGCTACCACTTTTCTCTCCATTTTTTGGCCTGGAGCCATTTTTTTCCTACCATGACAGCCACCTGTCTCCATAAACAAACAGTTTTATGTCTTGAGACCTGTCACGTCAGTTCCTGTGGCTACATCTCTATGAGTATACAGTTGACCCTTGAACAACACGGGTTTGAACTGCACGGATCCAGTTATACGTGGATTTTTTTCAGTAAATATATTGGGGAAAATGTTTGGAGATTTGCTACAATTTGAAAATACTTGCAGATGAACCACGTAGCTTAGAAATGTAAAAATAAATTTTTTAAAGTTATGTCATGAATGCATAAAATACATATATATACATATTTTCTCTTACGATTTTCTTAACTTTTTTTCTCTAGCTGACTTTATTGTAAGAATGCAGCATATAATACATATAACTTACAAGTTATGTGTTAACTATTTATGTTATTGGCTATTAGTAATTTTTGGGAGTCAAAGGTCTCCCAAAGATATATATATTTTTTTGATTTCAGAGAGGAAGGGAGGGGGTGAGAGAGATAGAAACATCAATGACGAGAGCGAATCAACGATTGGCTGCCTCCTGCACACCTCCCACTGGGGATCGAGCCCGCAACCCGGGCATGTGCCCTTGACCAGAATCGAACCTGGGACTCTTCAGTTCGCAAGCCGACGCTCTGTCCACTGAGCAAAACCAGCTAGGGCCTAACCGGATTTTTGACTGCACTAGGAGCTTGGCACTCCTAAATCCCACATTGTTCAGGGATAAACTGTACTTTATAAAAATATCCTCTAACTTTTCCAGGCTCAGTGGTTGCATGAAATCTGATAAGACTTGTGTAAATTAGATGCTCTCAGAGGACCTCTTTTGTGCCTTACCACTGAATACTTTTAGAGACAAAATAATAATGTTAATTGTTAAAGGGATGTTTTATGAGAGGTAGTTTTTTGTCATATGTGTGTTATGTAATTTTTTCCCCTCTGTAGTTTTTTTAATTGAGGGGGGTTTTTTTTAGAGGGAAAGAGGAAGGGAGAGAAGGATAGAGAGATAGAAACATCTATGAGAGAAACATCACCGATTGGCTGCCTCCTTGCACATTCCCCCCCAAGGAATCGAGCCCTCAACCCAGCATGTGCCCTGACTGGGAATCAAACCGGTGACCTCTCAGTTCATGGGTCGACGCTCAACCACTGAGCAACACTGGCTCGGCAGCCTCAGTAGATTTTTAACATAAAAATCAAATTTCTAAGACAGCCCACCTAGAGATTACTTACTCCTTTTTTAGTGGGGGAGTCAAGATGACCCCCACCCAGCAGTGTAGACTTATTTAAGCCTTTGTGGAAAATGACCATTTCATCTCTGGTTTGGGGGTATTAATGGAAAGGTGGGAAGCAAAGTCCACAGAGCCAGTGGGAGAGACCCAGAAAAGCATAGCTGGTCTGCTTAGGGTGACCCCGCCCTGGGCTTAGCATAAAAGTCCTGTCTCCCAGGAAATCCCTGGTCCAAACTCGAGAGCAACGTCCCACCTGCACCCTGGACATCCCTATCTTCAAAGGGCCGCCAAAACACCCCTAAGTTGCTCGTCTCTGTTAACCTCCCAAGTGAATGACCCCATCTCCTTTGAGCTTTGTCCACTTGAGAACGTTTTGTAGGCCAGCAGAGAAATCAGGTAAGTCGACATCCCCATGCTTCAAGCTGGTGTAGCCAAAACAGCTTGACTGAGCGTGCCCTGGGCTCGGAGGTGGGTGAGGACCTGGGAGGCTGATGACGTGTGGCCGCGAGGTGCCTGCCCACTCTTGCCATGTGGACTCCTTTAATCGTCTCTGGTTTTCTTTCTTCCTCCTCTAGACCCTCAAACTGACACAAGACCTACAAAGAAAACCCTTTGCCAAATCTGCTCAGCAAGTGGACAGTGACACCGTTTACAGCTTAACCCCTTTGTGAGCCCCACGCCATCTTCCTGACCCAGCCGAGACTGTTAATGGCCCCTGACCCTGGATGAAGCACTTACCCTGGAACAGAACTCTCTATATACAGTATGCAAATCTTCCTTGTACGAGGTGATGCGCCCCCGCCCGCGCAGGCCAGCACCCGCCAGCACCGCCCACCTCGGTCAGAGCACACCGGGAGCCCCCGTTGGCGATTCCGTGGTTTCATATCATGATGGTTTATGGGATGTTTTAAGTGTTGTGTGTTTGTTTTCCTTTGACTTTCTGAGTTTTTCACATGCATTAACTTGCGGTATTTTTCTGTTAAAATGTTAACCATTCTTCCCTAGGCAGATTTAAAAACAGAAGGAAAATGTACCAGTTACCATTTTGGCTTTGGGCATCACGAGCGGTTGAGCCCCTGGAACTCCATAAACTAACAAATTACATAAACTAGAGGGGGATATTCTTTCTTCTTTTGTTTGGCAGAAAAGGATCCTTTTCTAAAAACTGAACAATGGCACAACTGTTCACTGTGCGCACCCATCCAGGACTGAACCCTGCATAGGCAAAACGAATGGACCACAGCCACCAGCCCAGTGGGTTTCGGTTCTGAGTCAGGGTAGTCGGGGGACGAAACCCCAGCACCTGGGCTGCAGGTGCCAGATCAGGGCTGGTGGTCCCCTGTCAGTATCCTGAGCGAATGCAGTGAACAGTGATGCTAGGTTGGTTAGAAAATAGGG